TTTCGTACGGATGTCAAGATCGAGACTCCCGAATAAATGTGAAACGCTCACGGTTGTGCAACATGGCTTTTCAATACATCACAAAAATCTACGCGCGTGCAGTTTTTCATCGACACATGGACACTATCATCGTCATCGGCGTGATCAGCATCGGCGGAGTCAGTAGCCTTGCCGTCGTGTCTGCCGTCGTTGACGTCGCCATGGTACCGCACCCGCCCGAGTTACCGACTCGCACTGAAGTGTCCGCGCATCAGTGCGGCCTGCAAGACGCGCTGGAACTTATCAGCAGTCGTGAACCGATGTGGCACTCTATGTGTTGCAATATATGTTGTGCAACCCATGCGGCGCAATGTATACGGTGCAATATATGATGTGCAAGTTTTGTGATGCAATCAATCCATGCCTCCAAGACGGCCCTGAAGCGCCCCAAGAGGGCCCCGAGCCGGCACAGAGAGAGGCCCCCAAGACGGCTTCCGACGGCGTCAGACGGACCAGGAACGCCCTCAGACGGCCGAAGAGCCTCCCAAGGAGCCTCAAAAGGCCCCGAGTAGGCCCAAGGAAGCCCCCACGAGGCCTCCAAGAGGCCTCGGGGGGGGAAAAAAAAAGCCACAAGAGTGCCCCAAGGGGCTCCCAAGAGGTATCCTCCTCCTCTTCCTCCTCCTCCTCCTCATCATCATCATCCTCATCATCCTCATCATCCTCATCATCCTCATCATCATCATCATCATCATCATCATCATCATCACCATCATCATCATCATCATCATCATCATCATCATCATCATCATCATCATCATCATCATAATCAGCATCGTCATCATCATCAACATCATCAGCATCATCTTCATCATCTTCCTCCTTCCCCTCCTCCTCATCATCATCATCATCATCATCATCCTCATCCTCCTCATCCCTCTTCTCCTCGTCATCCTCCCCTTCCTACGCCTTTTTCCGCCCGTTCCTCCTCGTTTTCGTTCTCTCCCGCGTGTTATCCGAAGGGTGTCCACAACGGCTGGGGGGAACACCTAGCCGGATAGCTCAGCAGAGCTCTGGCCGCAAGAGGTCCCCAAGACGGTCCAAGATGCACCCAAGACAGCCTGAGATGGCCTCAAGATGGCCCAAGACTGCTCAAGACGAGAGGCAAACACGAGGTCTCAAAGAGGTCCACCAGGAAGGCTCGAAGAAGCCAAAAACATCAATGATCGGCCTTCCGACGGCCCACGAGGCCTCCAAGATCGCCCAACAAGCCTCCAAGGTAGCCCCATGGCAGCCCAAGAGGTCCCCAAGACGGCCTGAGATGGCCTCAAGATGGCCCAAGACTGCCCAGGAGGCCCACAAGAGGCCTCCAAGAGGTCCCCTAGGAAGACTCGAAGAAGCCAAAAACCTTGCTGCTCGTGCTTCCGGCAGCCCAACCAAGAGGCCCCCAAGACGGCCCCTAGAGGGCCACGGGACGGTCCAAGAGGCCTCCAGGACGCCCAAGATGGCCTCCAAGACTGCCATGGAGCGCCCCGGGGAGTCTCCAAGTCGGCTCTGGGAGAACCCCCTAAGACGGCGCCCGACTGCGTCAGACGGACCAGGAGTGCCCTAAGACGACCAAAGATGCCCACAAGCCCCGCCCCCCTTCCTCCCCATCCACTCCCACCCCCCTTCCCCGAGGCCCCCAGGAGGCCGAGGGAGGCCCCCAAGGGGCTCACAGGAAGCTCCCAAGAGAGGCCCCAAGAGTGCCCCCAGGCGCTCCCAAGGGGCCTCTAGTCCTTCTCCTTCTGGCTAGCTTCTCCCTGTCGCACCCCGAGGCCAGTTTTTGGGGCGGGCCGGGCGTTTCGCCTGAGACTTCCTCGCCACTTATGACTCCGAAGCCTGGAAACTGACACCAGCTTCACAAATGGAGGACGGGCCGTTTTCAAAATGTGGCTCTCGCCTTAGCGCGGTGCACATAGGTTGTAAACCTTTTGCAAGAATTTCACGGATTGGGGGCGGGTCGTTTTCAAAATGTGGCTCTCGCCCGAGAGCGTCGCCAATTTGTCTCGAACATTTACGAAGGTTTCATGGGTTGAGGGCGGGTGCTGTTCAAAATGTGGTTTTCGTCTCAGCGCGGTGCAGATTCGTTGTAAGCATCTGCAAGAGCTTCACGGATTGTGAGGACGGGTCGTTTGCAAAATGTTAGTCTCGCCGTAGCGCGGCGCACATTCGTTCTAAACATCTTCAAGTAGAGCGGCGCACACTCGTCGCAAACATTTGCAAGGGTTTCACGGATTGCGGGCGGTTCCTTTTCAAAATGTGGCTCTCGCCGTAGCGCCACGCACATTCTTTTTTTTTAATTTGCAATAGCTTCACGGATTGGGGGCGAGTCGTTTTCAGAATGTGGTTTTAGCCTTGGCGCCGCGCACATTCGTGCAAAAAAATGTAAGAGTTCCACGGGTCCCATGATTAGCGCACCAGAAATGGTGTTTGGAAGGATTCAGGATTATGAGTGTGATGCAATTACGTTGATTCGCGGTGCAAAAGTCCCAAGAATGGTGTTCTGGCACGGTTCAAGATCGACAAGACGCAACACTCAGGTTGATCCGTGAGTTGGTATCCCGAGAACAATGTTGTGGCATGCTCCGGGGTCTTCAAACAATTGTTTTCCAACGAGGCAGCCCCCGCAGTGGAAATGAACAGTTGCTGGGGCCTATGAAGAGGGATCTTGGAGGGAGGGTGTATTCCAACATCATTAATGACCCTTGTGTGTCCACTGGTCCTCCGCCTCCTCCTCCTTATCCTTATCCTCCTCCTCCTCCTCCTCCTCCTCCTCCTCCCCCTCCTCCTCCTCCTCCTCATCATCATCACCATCATCATCCTCATCCTCATCCTCATCCTCATCCTCCCCTTCTCCTCCGTCTCCTGACCCCCCCCCAACACCACCACCCCACCCCACCTCTCATCCTCCCCAAAGCATCTCCCGAAGAGATTCCAGCGCGGTTGGAAGAATACATAGACCGATAGCTTGGCCAAGCTGAAGCCAAACATTGGGCTACAGAGGCGCTTCCGAAAAAATGGCGGTGATTCGCCGCAAGCATCTTCACTGCGGAATCAAAACGGTTGTTCAAAAAAAATGGAATTTCGATGTACTGCGGGCGCGCACTTCCCTACCATCCTCAACAACACAATAGCTATCATCACTGTCACCGTCGTCATCGGCATCGCAATCGCCATAATCATCAACATCGTCATCATCGTCACCGCCGCCGTCATATTCGTCATCATCGTCATCGTCGAGATTGTCGTCATCGTCAGATTTCTGCGCGCGCGCCTTCATCATGTTCATCAGCACCATAATCATCAACACAATCGCCATCGCCATCGTTGCCCCAATCGTTATCATCGCCAGTAGTTGCATCAACATCGCCATCGTTGTCGTAGACATCGTCCCCACCGCCGTCATATTCATCATTATCATAATCATCGATGTCGCCGCCTGGGTGAGTTGTGTCAAACAGTTGCGGGTAGGAGGATGGGATGTTTGCTCGAGAATTTGAGTTGATGGCGTCAACATTGGGACAGCAGACACCCCATACATTACACCACTTGCACCGCCGAGGTTGCATCGCATATGTTGCACCGTATGCAATGCAACACATAGGTTGAAACAGACACGGATTACACCACAACGGTTGCATGTCGACAGTGCAAGAACCCACTGCTTGGGGTCCACGCTGGCAAACATGTGTTCAGCAATTGTAGGTGAGCTGCGAGTTGTCGCCGTCGCTCAAGTGTTAGATGGGCGGTGCCCTGAGGCAACTGACCTGTGATGCCTCCTATGTCGCGATTTCTCGCCCTGGTGCACCATGGGTGGTGCCCTATGGTTTGTGCGCTATGGTGCCTCACGTGTTGCAGCCTATCGTTGCTGCACTGGTGTCCTGGGGGTGGTGCTCATCTGATCACATCTGCAATTTCTCAGTCTTGCCCGGGGGCGAGTGCCCGACGATGCCTCACTTGCTGCGACGTCTCGTTCTCGCCATCTTTCTCTGTGGATGCTGCCCGATGGCTAGTGCGCTTTCCCGTGTGCTGCGATGTCGGCGATGTCTCGTTAGTAGGTGTTGATGGCGAATGCCTCGCCGCCCTCGCGCGAAGCGCGAGAAAGTAGTTAAAGGAGAGGAAAAATGCGGCGATGTCTCGTTCCCCCACTGGTGCCCTATGGGTGGGGCTCGGTTGGCGGGGGCCCTATGATGCCCCATGTGCTGCGGCGTCTCCAGTCCTCACCCGGGTGCCCTGAGTGTGTCTTGTGGCCAGTGTCAAATGATGAACCACTTGTTGCGATGTGTCTCGTGCCTGCACAGGTTCCCAGTGGGTGGCGCCTTGTGGGAAGTGATCTACGATGCCTCCTCTGATTCGATGTGTGGCTCTTGCTCTGGTGCCCTAGGGGTGGTGCCCTGTGGCTGGTGCTCCACAGTGCCCATGTTTGGATCAAGCGCCATGAATTCACAATTGCATCTCACAGGTCATGTGATGCACTTTCTCGTTCCCGTACTGGTGTTATGTTGGTGGTGCCCTATGTCTGTCGTCCTATGGTTCCGTGCGCTGTAGATTTCGAAGCACAAAGGGCACCACATAGAATGCACGTCCAGAGTACAAGGGTCTACTGTTTGGGGCCCACGCTGGAAGTAATTATCGTATTCATAGGTTCGCCGTCATCGTCATTTCCACGTGTTGATAAAAATCGCCATCGTAGGCATCCCTCGACCACCACGCCCATCATACCGTGTCTTTCGACAACAGCATCAGCACATGGCCGCTTCTGTTACCACCAGCACCGCCAAAAGCTGTCAAAATCCCCACCCGCGTTGTTGATGACACCGCCGCCGTGGCGATGCTCAACCCCGATGCATCATCGTCGCCGACGGGTCTCGACATGATCATCATGACGAGCTCTAGTGGGTAAGAGGAGACAGGTCGGTGCGCAATTCATCGCCGTGGCCTCGTCTCGAAGCTCGCGGCCGCGCGGCGGACCCCCCCGCGGCCGTCCAGCTGAGACTGGATGTTGGCGATCTTGGAGGGTGGGAAGCTGTACTCCGCCACTGGCACGCCGGCCTTCCTGAGGTACATCAGGAAGCCCAGCTCCTGAAGCGCGCGGACTTCCGCCCCCCCCCCCCCAGCACGCACGCGCTCCGATCGAGCGTGCGCCCTCCGCGAACCACCAAGGCTCCCCACACGTGACACAAACACTGCGTTCTCCCCGAACGCCAGACAGTGCAAAGAAAGCGAGACTGCACTGCAACCTGAACGGTTGCAGCCTGGGGATCCGGCACAGCAGGCCAAGGCTCCTGGGCAAAGAGGAGACGCCACGCGGCATCTCCCAGCGCCGGGTCCCCCGAGGCCGCTGCTGCCATCGCTGTTCGCTTCCTGCGCCTACACAGCCCTCAGAGGATCAGCCACGAGGGTATCGCGCCGTCGTCCTCCTGCATGTGTTGCTCATCGTCATTAGAGTACCACCAGTCATCATGGTACTCCTCATCCCCCTTCCCATCCTCCTCCATCTTTCTATTCATCCTCCTCCTCACCACCACCACCATCATCACCCTCATCATCGTATCATCATCAGCAGCAGCATCAGCATCATCATCACCATCATCATTACCACCACCACCACCACCACCACCACCATCATCATCATCATCATCATCATCATCATCATCATCATCATCCTCATCATCATCATCATCATCATCATATCATCATCATCATCATCATCATCATCATCATCATCATCATCATCATCATCATCATCATCATCATCATCATCATCATCATCATCATCTGCAGCATCATCATAAGCATCATCATCATCATCATCATCTGCAGCATCATCATAAGCATCATCATCATCATCATCATCATCATCATCATCATCATCATCATCATCTGCAGCAGCATCATCATTAGCAGCATCAGCATCAGCATCAGCATCAGCATCAGCATCAGCATCGTCATCAGCAGCGGCAACAGCATCAGCATCATCATAATTATCATCAACATTATCATCATCAGCAGCAGCACCATCATCACCATCATCACCATCATCATCACCATCATCGTCACCATCATCACCACCACCATCATCACCACTACCACCATCATCATCATCATCATCATCATCACCATAAGCAGCAGCAGCAGCATCATCAACGTCATCAGCATCATAATCATCAGCAGCAGCAGCAGCAGCATCACCAACACCATAATCAACATCAGCATCAGAATCATCCTCATCCTCATGAACATCATCATCACCACCACCAACACCACCCCCACCATCACCATCATCATCATCATCATCATCATCATCATCATCATCATCATCATCATCATCATCATCATGGAGAGCTCAGCCGAAGGCCCCAAGAGCGGCGTTCACACGCGCGCCCCCCTTTTCCCCGCCCAGTTCGGCACGCCCCTCGCACGCTTCGCGGCCCCATCGGGAGCTCCACCGAAGGCCCCAGCGGCGGCGTTTGCACGCGCCCCCCCCTCCCACCCCCACCCCCCGCGCCCATTTCAGCGCACCCCTCGCACGTTTTGTAGCCCTATAAGGAGCTACATCGATGGCCCCAGCAAGGGTGTTCGCACGCGCCGCCCCCTACGCAAATTTCGGCACACCCCTCGCACGCTTCGTGGCCCCTACAGGGATCTCCACTGAAGGCCCCAATGGCGGTGTTCGCATGTGCCCACACACATTCACACACACACACACAAACACATTCGGGCACACCCCACCGCACGCTCAACGGCCCCATGGGAACCCCCACCGAAGGCCCCAGCGGCGGCGCTCGCGCACCCCCCCCCCCACTGCCACCCACTTCGGCACACCCCTCCTGGACCACTTGCGTGGTCCCGAAGGGAGCTCCACCGAAGACGATGCTCACAACTGCACGACTCACAAGTGCATATGGTTGGGCCCTTCGCCAGGCGATGTTTTGGTTTAATTATAGGGGGAGCCTTCACACTTGCCATTCTATACGCCATGAATGCCCAGGTGCACCTGTTCCCAACACTTGCAACACACGGTGGAGAACCCTGCGCCCTTCGCCTTACCCACTGTAACTATGTCACCACCAATCGCCCACAAATCCTCCATCCTGATCTGGGCATCGTCACTTTCGCCTGGCCACCGGTATCCTTCTTCGTCGCACCTCCCAACTGCATCCTCAGCCCCATATCCTGATCCGAGGTCTGACTGGTCACCCACTTGGCCCGCGCCACCGATGTCCACTGCATCGCTGCTCTTCGAGTCTGTATCCAGCCTCTTTTTGCGGGCCCATTCCTCACATTTGAAGTAGACTTCCTGATCAGACTCGGAGGCCAGTGACTCTGGCGCCTTGTAGAAGTCCTGCTGCCGGTCGTCAAGACCACTCACCAGCGCGAGTCGCGATTGCCTGGAGCGCTGTCAGTCCGAACGGCAGAGGCAACGCATTTAAGGACCCGTAGTTCTCCATATGTTCAATCAGGGCACTTTACTGTCCAAGCTGCGAAAAGGTGTCGCATACTTATGTTGCCGTTCTGCATGAATTTCCAAAGTCACTTTGGCCGACGAGGTTGCCCCCGTCACTGCCGAATGCCACTTGTACATTGCACCGCAGGCTAGCAAGCATTCTCCTTCATGCAACCCATGCTGCTTACCCAAAATGTCAGCTCTTTCTCTCTCTCTCTTTCTCGGCTTCCTGTGAAACTGCACCGTTGATCTTCGCATAACCAGTTGACTTAGTCAAAGTATAAGTAAGGTGTAGTCCTCACTGTTGTCAGCCTGCTCCATCCACGGTTTCAACTTAGCGCTCAGTGTCTCCAGCGTTTTGTGGCTACCATGAGTTAAGTGGGCCAACGCGTTGAGCAGCAGCCTGTCATTACATTCGCGAAACTTCGACCTCACACTGCGGAAGTTCTTAAGCGCCTGAGCTGGCCCTTACTCACTGATTGCCATCGACTACCACGCGTTCTGCCTGGGCTTTGTTACGTCTGTGCCTCGCGAGCAGAGATCGTTGGCGATTAACTGCCCTCGATTAGCGCCTCCAATGTTGCACCTCTGCCGTTGACTTTGTCGATTTTCGTTCGCGCATCTGCTCGCAGTTTCTAGCGCCTAGCAGCGCTGCACTTGAGTTGCCAAACATATGCGTCATGGTGAAAGCGCGCTCGTTAGACGTATCTCTGTTACCTCCTCGCCCTCGCTCACCAATGTAAAGTATGGCCCCTTTCGTGGCTAGCTCGTGGAGAAGGCCCAACGAACTCGCAGCAACCATCTCGGCATGCAGACAAGCAGATTGCCCAAAACTCGACCAAGCGGTATGCGACCCACCCTTGAGGTGTAGCCCCCATGCCCTGCACGGGCCTCACCATGACTTCGCTGCGCCAACGGGCGAGCATCGCAGAACGATGTTGACCAGGATGGCGCGGCATCTCCTCGGCGACAGACGCAAGCACAATCCGCCACCGTGCCTCTGGGCACGGAGTGGGCGTGTCCTCAGGTCCTTTGCCCAATATTATCCTCCTCCTCCTCCTCCTCCTCCTCCTCCTCCTCCTCCTCCTCCTCCTCCTCCTCCTCCTCCTCCTCCTCCTGCCACTCCTGCTCCTCCTGGTTCTGCCTGCGTGCCCCCTGGGGCTTCCCGCGTGCCCCTCTGGGGCCTCCCGCGCGTGCCCCCATGGGCTCCCCCGCACCTCCCTCGTCGCGCGACTTTTCTCGGGCCCAAAAAGGCCCCTAAGACGCCTCTGGGACCGTCTTGGGGCCCTCTTGGGTCGTTTTGGGGGGCCTCTTGGGAGCCTCTTGGGCCGTCCTGGGGCGGCCTTGGGGGCCTCCTCTTGGGCCGTCGTCAACGCCGTGAAACCCGAAGAGCCGTATATGCTAGAAATGCACGCTTTCCTTTTGGAAAATCAATGATTTGGGCCTCTTGGGGCCCTCTTAGGACGCCCCTTGGGCGCCTCTTGGGGGCCTCTTGGGGGCCTCTTGGGGCGGCCTTGGGGGCCTCTTGGAGAGCTCTTGGGCCGTCTTGGGGGGGAACCCGAAAAACATGCAAAACCCGCAGGAAAACCCGAAAACGGCAATTAAACCCATCCACTCCCCGTACGCCCCCCCCCTGGAACCCCCCCTTTAAGGGGCTTCGCCCAAAACACAACGTCATCACTCGTGCCTCGCTCTTTCCGTTACCTGGCCCGGCACAGAAACGGAAAGAGCGCTTCAGAAACTTGACCGAAATTACTCACACCACAGTTCGTACTGGGAGCCTTGGCGTTCAACGTAATATACGTCAACTTTCGTACTGGGAGCCTTGGCGGTCAACCACTTCTCACGTCATTGTCCGTACTGAGAGCCTCGCTGTGAGGAACTATTTACTTAATAAGGGACTGTATGTTTCCAAACACTTACGTAGGGGGCCACATGCGAACCCTACCCCTACCCTCCACGATTTCTGAGGGGCAGGGTGGGGTTCACTCGGCTCGGGAGCTCCCGAGCGAGGTGAACCCCACCCTCCCCCTCGGAAATCGTGGGGGCAGGGGTAGGGTTCGCACGTGGCCCCCTATTACGGAAAATCATCGATGTTGGCATCTTCGGGCCTTCTTGGGGGTCCTTTTGGAGCTGTTGTGGGCAGTCTTGGGGCCTTCTTCGGCCGTCTTGCGGCTCTCTTGCGCTGTATTCTTTACGTCACTTTTCGTTGTGCGAGCCTTGGCGGTGCAGGACTCGTCATGCCACCGTCCGTTTGAGAGCTTCGGTGTTAAGAGCTTGTTGCGTCACCGCTCGCTCTTGGGAGCCTTGGTGTTCAGAGATTGTTACGTTGCCGCTCGCCCTTGGGATCCTTGGTGTCGAGTTGTTTACGTCACCCTTCGCTCTTGGGAGCCTTGGTCTTATCAGCTTGTTTACGTCACCGCTCGCTGTTCGGAGCCTTGGTGTGAAGAGCTTTTACGTGACCGATCGCCAACGTGCCTAGGTTGTCGGTCTGAAGCTTGTGCGGTGTTCACTGGGATCTCTGGGGAGGCTTCTCGCGGGCCTCTCGGAGGCAGTTTCGAAGCCGCTTGGGGGCTGTTTTGGTGCGGGGCCTCTTGGGGGCCTTTTGGGGCTTCTTGGGGGCCTCTTGGGACCT